TTACTTATAGAATAAATATATTTAAACATTTTTTAGCTTCGATGCGAAGCGGAGAAGGTATTAATTTTACTATGATGTGTTTTTTTTTTTATGTCTGTTGCCACTTTTTCTCAGCTCTCACTGGACCGATTTCTTTCAAAAATACGTCAAAAGATCACAAATCGTATCTAGTTGAAGACATTACCCTTAAAAATTGAAAAAAATTCCCTCGTTCCCCGCAAATGGGGGAAATATCCAAAAAAATTACAAATTTAAAAATCGCTAATTTTCGAAATTTTTTCACTTTTTTTTCTTAAAACTTCCATAACTTTTTGAAAAATCAACAAATCAACATAATTTTTTTTTATACTAAAACCTTAGATATTTACCTTTCATTTGATATCATTTTTTTGAAAATCTATCACTTAACCTGCTCATTGGGGGGGATTTAAAATGGCAACTTTTTTACAAAAATTAATTTTTTCAACTTAATTTTTGAAAATGTTCCGGAAAGACTGCGTCCTTTAAACATATATCAAATTAAAGCTTATTTTATGTACTACAAAATGAAAAAAAAAAATTTGTCCCGACACTTTTTTTTCTACATTTAAACGGCTGCCGTAGTTAAAAAAACACTATTTTTGTGTTAAAATTTTCGATTTTCGATTTTAAATTTTCAACTTAAAAATGCTATAACTTTTTGAAAAATGTATATATCAGCACAAATTTTTTTTTTCTAAATACATTATAAGTACATCTTTCATTTGACATACTTTTTATTAAAATTGGACAATTTCCCCTTATATAGGGGGCGTTCAAAACTTAAAATATTGTAAAAAACATAGATCTTTTTCAACTGAACTTTTGAAAATGTTCCGGAAATACTGCGTCCTTTAAACATATATCAAATCAAAGGTTATGTTATATACTATCAAATGAAAAAAAAAAATTTGTCCCGACATCTTATCTTCTATGTGCAAATGGCTGTCGAAAATTTAAAAAAAAATGTAATGTTTGCGATAAAAATTACATTTTATCGGGATGTTTTTTGTACTTAAAACTGCCATAACTTTTTCAAAAATGAACAAATAAAAATAATATTTTTTTGTATTGAAACCTTAGATATTTCCCTTTCATTTGATATAATTTTTTTTGAAAATCTAACACTTATTCTGCTCACTGGGAGGATTTAAAATAGTAACTTTTTTACAAAAAATAACTTTTTCAACTTAATTTTTGAAAATGTTCCGGAAATACTGCGTCCTTTAAACATATATAAAATTAAAGCTTATTTTATGTACTACAAAATGAAAAAAAAAAATTTGTCCCGACGATCTATCTTCTATACGCAAATGGCTACCATATTGAAAAATATACTATTTTTGTATGATAATTATGGGTTTTGTATTTTATTTTAATAGAAGTTGATGTTGCTTTTGCAATTATCCATCAATTTTTTAAAATTAAACACTATCTACAGATTTGCATCGAAGCGTTTCTTATGATAGTGATTTTAATCACTGTCAGATTAAATCTACACTGGACCCTACTATGCAATGTGTCCACTATGCCGCGACCCCACTGTGCTACCGTTTTTTTATACTGATTTTTTTTTTTTGGTTATCTTTAGTTACACATTATTCTTGAATTATTAATTATGTAATACTTTTTAAGTTCATTACTTATGCCTGGTAAGGGTGTCAACTTTGTTTTTTTAAATGGGAACACATATTTTGAATTTAATAAAATGTTTGAGTTTTTAATTTAGTAGTAAATGACATTTGAATTTTTAGTATAACTTTATTTGTTTATTAGATATAAACACTTACAGTTTCAATTTTTTGAGTTAATATACATGAATAATACACAAGGGATTACAAATACAGGTAGCTAATTGATTTTTTATGACATCGATATTAGCAGGTACACAGCATTGTTATTATCAATGGTAGTAAGGCACATTGTTGTGAGTATATAAATACACTAACTGACAATACAGAAAGTATATCTATTGATAGTCATAATTGATAATAAACCATCCGTGACTGCGACTGCAATGTCATAAAAATCCAATTAGCTACCTGTATTTGTAATCCCTAGTGTATTATACATATATATTAACTCAAAAATTTGAAACTTTAAATGTTAATATCTAATAAACTAATAAAGTTATACTAAAAATTCAAATGCCATTTACTATTGAATTAAAAATCCAAACATTTTATTAAATTCAAAATATGTATTCCCATTTAAAAAAACAAAGTTGACACCCTTACAAGGCATAAGGGATGAACAAAAAAGTTTTAAATAGTTAATAATTCAAGAATAATGTGTAACTAAAGATAACCAAAAAAAAAAAATTTTTAAATTATATATAGTCTGCAAGTAATTGAGTGGGTCATGATAAAAAAAAAACCCAGCACAGGGGGGTCGCAGCACAGTGGTGACGTGGCATAGATGGATCAAGTATAATGATATCTGACAGTGATTAAAATCACTATCATAAGAAACGCTTCGATGCAAATCTGTAGATAGTGTTTAATTTTAAAAAATTGATGGATAATTGCAAAAGCAACATCAACTTCTATTAAAATAAAATACAAAACCCATAATTATCATACAAAAATAGTATATTTTTCAATATGGTA